TCAGGCCAGGCGTTCACTCGATGCAAATCCCCAGTGAGAGAGAGGCTGCCTGCCTGTGCCTGTGAACTTATCACCCCATAGGTTGGTTTTTGCTGCAGTGGGTGGAGTAGCAGGCCTGAGCACAAGTCAGCCCATTGGCTGATCTTTCACTGCAATGGGTGGAGCGAGCAGGGGAAGATTATTAATTTACATGCCCTTATATGGAAAACACTCCACCTCACAGACAAAGCCCCCTATACCAGCCTTAGAGGTATTACAGGCTATGGCTCCCTGCGATGGGCAGCCATTTCTGATGTTCTGTCTCGGACAGTGGGGAGGGGAGGAATGTGTATAGTCTATAGCATTAACTTATAAGCTTTTGCTTATCCGTTAATAGACTACAGTACTCTATTACATCCCTGCTTCCATTGTTGCTAAGCATTTGCCTCTCTTTCTCTCCCTAAAACCACAAGGGACATGAGGTTGGTTTGGAGAAATGTCTATTAGAGAAGGACATGAGACCACATTCATACTTAGGTCAGGAAGACCTATGTATATATCAGTGTCAGAGAGGGCTTGCGGCCACTTTCAAAGACCTGCACAATTCTTCTGTTGTTCTGCCCATACACTTTGACTGACACACCTAGGACCCAGTGTGGGCATGTTTGTGATGGGATATACCGAGACCCCACTCTCAGCAATGCAGGGCTAATGTGGCCACAGGTTAGCATGCTCTGAGCTGTACCTTTGAGAGACTTACGGTGTGTCTAGAATACTCGTTTTTTTTCTTCAGAAAAATGGCCATTTTTCCGAAAAAACTTCACTTACGTCCACACTGATGTTGCAGAAAATTGAAAGAATGGAGGGGTTTTTCTGACGTTGGTAAACATCTTTCTACAAGGAAGAAACCTTTTCTGAAAGAGCTATTTTGCAAAAAGGCGTGTGTGGACAGAGAAGAGGGAGTTATTTTGGGAGAAGAGGAAAGTGGAAAAAGTGGAAAATGCCCTGGAGGACACTCTGCCCATAGCAGTCACAGCTTACATGTGAGTCAGCATCCATTCACTGTGGACGCTATCTTTCAAAAGAGCAGATGGCTTTTTTAATGTGCTTTGGAAGTGTGGACACTCTTTTAGAAGAAGTTTTTCGGAAAATCTCTCCGAAAGAAGCCTGCAGTCTAAACATAGCCTTAGAGGGAGGAGAGTAAAGAGGGAAGCAAGGAAAGAGCAGGCTTCTAGTTCCTGAAGACAGGAGCATCTCTCATTAGAACCCCGCAAGTCCATGCAAATCTATATATCTGCTGGTATTGGCATCTGCAGATATGCATGTGAATATCCACGGCTCGTTTTTGCAGATGCAGATACAAATTTGTATCGAGAACCCTGCAAATTTGTGGATATCCATGGCTTATTTTTGTGGATGTTGATGAAAATTTTGTATCTGCATAGAGCTCTGCCTTTCCTGGCTGTTGCCTCTCACTGAAGGAAGGGAGTATCTGACTCACCTTTTGAGGGGAAAGGTCTCAGAGGGGTAGCCATGTTAGTCTGTATCTGCAAAAACATTGAGGAGACCTTAGAGACTAACAGATATATTACGGCAGAAGCTTTCATGGATAAAACCCACTTCATTTTACCCACGAAAGAGGGTGCCCTAATAAATGTGTTAATCTCCAAGATGTCACATTATTGCTCCTCATTATTTCTTTTGAGGGGATTATTTCTATACACATCTGAAGATAGAGAGCTTTAGCACCATCGCAGGATAATTCATGTATGTTAATTCTCTTCTTCAGTTCATGGACAGTCCCAGAAGAGAAGGCCCTGGGGACTCAGCTGGTAGCATGAGTCCCTTATGACTGGAACCAGTGTGGAAAAACACGTAGCCATTGCAGAGCAGAGGCCTGGGTGAGGGTAGGGGTTGCCTGGGGAGTATTGGGGGGGCAAGGGAGGAACCCTAGTGACCAGGGCTTGACAAATGGTGGCGAAAGCCGGTCGCCAGCCCCGCACTGCATATGCGCAAGACCTGCATTGCGCATGCGAGCACTGCAAATGAACGGGGCGCCCGGCAGAAATCTACTCTCCATGGGCGAGTAGATTCAATACTTTGTCAAGCCCTGCTAGTGACTATTATGCAGAAAGCGAGTCAGAACACATCTGGGTGACAGGGTGGTAAGAATACCAGCCTGTGTCTATCCTGATTTCCTATTTTGCTGACACTGGTGGAACTGTGCAACACCAACAGTGTGAGAATTACCTAAAATTGACAGTGCGCTTGTGAGGCCACATGCATGTTTTCTGCCTCATTATCTGTCTTCTCTGGTATCACAGGAATTGTCCATCTTCTGATGGAGTCAGCCTCTACCCCCCTTTATAGACACTGCAACCTTCAGTGGCCTGGTTCCTTTTCAATTAACATTAGCTTCAAACGAATAGCTGCTGACCCAATATTGACACAGTAGTAAATTATTCAGCATGTCTTATTTGGGAATTCAAAGGCTCCGTGATGAAATCTACAAAACTATATTATGTCTCTGACAGACGGAGGTTTCATTATTTTGTCTTCAATTATTCACAAAGACTAGTTGTTCACCTCTCAAAGCTCTGGTGGAATTGTAAGCGATCCTGTGACCCCAGGCTGATGAGAGGTAAGAGCCTGTATTAAGGTATTAATGCTTTTGTTCTCTGTAGCTTTTCTTTTTGTACTGCCCCTCCAAGCCTCAACTCCTCCAAAGGTCCTGAATCCTTGTGGTTAAAGTAAAATGAATAAGGAAGTCTCCGTCCCTATTGATTACAGATATGGGATACCTTCAGCAA